TAACAATTCGATATTCTCGTATGTGTGCCACTATATGACTTCACGTTTCGATTCTCTCAAGGAATTGAATTTTCCGTGAATCGTTCACGTATTTAGGACTTTAAGACATCTTAGGCTTATTAGTTGATTTCGCATCGTATGGATTTTTGAAAGTACTTTCGCAGCGTGTGAATATATATATATATATATATATATATATATATTCATCTGAACTTTCTCAATTCTCTGGAAGATGTAGTCAGACCAAAGATACGATAAACTTCCGGATTATAAAAAAAAAACGCTTGATACCATTGTGAATAACATGGGTAGTATGTCATTCATCTGATTTCTGTACAAATACAATTCATTTCTTATGGAATTTTAATGAAAACAAAAGGGATTGATCTTTTATATCTGAACGAACTTGCACAATCAAATTATAGAAAAAATGGATATATATATATATATATATATATATATATATATATATATATATATATATATATATACATACAGAGAGAGAGAGAGAGTGAGAGAGAGAGAGAGGTGGGGAAACACGAGAGTACAAAGACAATGGAGTGGGAGGAGGAGATTTAGAAGCAAAAAGGAGGGGAGGGTCCATGAGAATTGACCTTAATTGTATACGTCTTTAATTAATTGGCCCATTTGGCATTAGACCCATTAACCACTAAACATAATCACATGCACGCACTTACAAATATATATATATATATTTCCTTTAATTAATTTGAAATGTCCCTTTTCGTAAAATCTTAATTTAAAAGTTTTTTTTGTTTAATTAGAAATATCTAATTATAATATTCGCCTCCATTTATATTGTCATTTCTTTCATGGCAAGTGAAGTGAGGCATGATCATGACCATCATCATCATCATTGACTTAATCTAGACATGCAACTCCATGCATCATTGCTCAATGCTCACTAAATATGGAAGTTAATTAAGATCCCCGTAACAATGATTAATCGGCTTAAAATCTCACCCTCTCCCATAATTATTATGTCTTCCGAAAACCAGATTGATATGCTTTATGCATTGATCATGTGATCTTTTATATATATATATATATAGGAAATAATTAAAAAAGAAAATTAAATAACAAACACAAACAGAAGTCAGACATGTTCTTAAAAGTATCTTCGGACCTCTATTTCGGTTTAAGTAATTAAAAAAAAACACACACACATTGAGTTGCTTTGTTTAACTGATTTTTTTTTATAATTGTCAGGATATTTATTTAACGGTTTTATATTTGGAGATTTTTGTCATACAAAAGTTGTGAGTTTTATTTCTTTTCATTTTTTTTCTCGAAATATTGCAAATATCGTTAAAAAAAGGGGTTTTTGCATTTCGAACAATTTTATATAATCACAAACCAGGAATCCTAATAATCACCCGACATCAATCACAACAATTTAGAAATAACTCTAATGTTAGATGCTGTTCTCATGATGCCAATTAGTGAGGAAAAAATAAAAAAAAAAGATCCATGGCTTTATAAATGGACCGTTTCTGATTGGAAATAAAGAAAATAAACTTAGAAAAGAAGGCAACTATGATTACGCGGTTTATTAAGGATGAGGAAAAGTGGGTTTTGTCTGGTTGAATCTCTCTCTAAAATATGACCCATCCAATTAAAAAAAGATACATAATTATCACTATATATATATATATATTTCAAATTTGGGTTATGCTCACGTTCTTTAAGTTTTGGCATTTATTTATTTTTATAAAGTTATGAATATTTAATTTTTATTAAATTTATATAAAATTTTCGGATCGTTTCGAATTTTATTCTATTGATTTTAACTATATATATTATTCTAAATAAATTTTCTATTCAATTTTTATTATTTTTTTCAGATTAAATCAATTTAATCTATTTTCAAAAGGTCGTTCAATAAAAAAAACAATAACAACTACTACTAATAGTAATAATAATTTTTTGACCAAAACACCCAATAACTTGTTGACGGGTTAGTAACTATGTGCAAAATATTCAGAGGTTGGCGGTTCGATTCCTGGTTAGAGAGGAGTTTCCACATGGACTGCTCCGATCCTCTGGGAGATATAGTTGGACCAAAAACCCGATGAACTTCCGGATTATAAAAAAAAAAAATTTGACCAAAACATATAATACCCAACTTTACTTTGGAGCCATCTTTTAACATTGTAGCTTTGTCGTGCAATTCTCTCTCTCTCTCTCTCTTCAAATATAAGCTCTTTATTAATTTGTCCAATTTGCATGGGGTGGCCCAACGCATTATTTTAAATAGAGGTGTCTAATCAATCGTTATTATACAAAAATAAAAAATCTCTAAACCTAATGTCTTCTTTTTCCACTTGTCCCATTTGAGTACTTAATGCTGTCTACATGTCCTTAAGCCTGTTTATGGATTAGATAATAGAATATTAAAATTTTCCTTTGTATTCTTTTTTTGCTAATAAAAATATATTCTATCAATATATAGCTTTCAAATTTGAAATAAATATGTGAATTCTAGATATTTAAAAATTGAAATAATTATTTAATGGATTAGTTTTTTTTTATGTTGCTAAAAAAATATAATTTCTGCAGATTTTCCCTCCAAATAAAAACATATTTTGCTGTAAATATCATTTTATAAAACGATAAACTAGTGACTAATTTATCATTTAAAATGAGTGAAAATTAGAATTCAATTTCTGAGAGATTAAATTATGTGTATATGTCTGTTTTTAAATTGACCTCTTATTTTGTATCTAATTTTAGTTTTTTAAGCACATGGATATTATCAAGAAGATATTATTTTATACAAAAATGGACAAGAAAAAAAAAATGGATCCAAAAGGTATTTCATGCTATGACGACGACCGACAAAATCGAGAAACGTTTTTTTTCCCGAACAAATGGAAAGATTTTATCAACAAATATAAATTACAATAATCATGATTCAACATTTTTAAATAAAACAAAGAAAAAAAATATGTTTTAGCATGGAAATGCTTTCACATTTTTACGTATTTTATTTTTCTACAAACTTCTGAAACTGTGATCAAAATTTAATATGTCTCGAATTATTGTAATTCAAAATTTTAATTTTTGACTGCAGCTCCTATACTCATGGATCTTTTAGTATTGGGCCACAAAGCCCAAATCCATTAAATATTATAGCCCAAATCCATTAAACGGACTTCTTATCATTCAAAAATATTTTTGAAAAATTAACAAGCTATTTTAAGTCAAATATGGTTTCGATAATCAGTTTTAATTTAATATTCCATATTCAAGATGAAAATCCGGATATAAAAATTTAAATTGAATAAACTTCGAAATAAAACTGCCGGTATATAATTTTTTTTCTTCAAAATTTTAAAAATACAAATAAATATAAAAATTTTGAAATGAGAATTAGAAGCTGCATATTGATAGCCAAAAAAATTAAATATGAAAAACAAATTCAAATTGAATCCAACGATAACACAAATCGATATAAATATCATACTCGTTTAGGTTATTCAAAAACATAAATAAAAATATGGACCTAAAAAATAACCTATACAAAATTCAATTAAAATCCAAAATGCCCAAAACGAAATAACTTATTGAAGTCCGAACCAAAATAAATTCAAAATCGAATCGAAATCCACATCATAAACCGATAGTTAAGGGTTTTCTAAAACCAACAAAAAAAAAATGGAAAGGAAAACCGAAATGTGAATTTTATGTAAAACAAAATTTCCCTAGAATGATTTTTTTTGCAAAGAATAAATGAAATGTTTATTTAATATTCCATAGTAAAGGTAATAGTAAAGGGCAAATAGTCTCCACCTCACTCAAAACATATTTGATCTTTCATATATTAGAAACAAAATCAATCTATAATCATTTGAACATTGAAACCATGGCTTTCTATATCCAAAACACTCTAACTTCGAGTTAGTAAAAGCTGATTCACATAAAACGGACCGGGTTTTTAGACTATCCAAAACTTCGTTTCGGTATGATCTATGATACTCAGATACCAACCTTATTGCAGTTTGGTATGAGCTCTTGTAAAGCACGCATCTTCTCGTTTATTCTATCCCTCCGTTTCTGAATATCGAGGAACAGATGAAAGCAGAAGCATCAGGACAATGTATAGTAACACGCTAAGTCTGCTCAGTTCCGTAATTTGGGTAGGAACAAAATTCTGGGTACTCTACTCACCCTTTCAGACAGATTATGAACTTCAGCCGAGCGGCTTCTCTTGCAACCTGAGACTCTTTCTATATATATATATATATATATATAGTTTTATTTTAAAAAGGTTGTGGGTGGTTCCCATTTAGTGGCGACACCAAATGTATATAACTAGAAACACTATTTATGTTTAGTTTTTGTTCGTGGTAATCGAGTGTTCTAGTCAATTCCCATACTAATATGGATCGAGAATCGGTAAATTAATTTGGAATATACGTTGTCTCCCCAAATTTGAGATTTGAAATCGCCATGAGACATACGCTTTCCGTTAGGGACGGATGATGAAAAGCTTTAACACCTCTCATTCTTATTACTTTTTCAAACATTTCAGAATTCGGTTCGAGATTTTAGCAGTTCGATTCGGAAACGATTTATTCGGTATTCCAAAATTTGTACCAAATTAGTACTATATATTATTCGGTTCAGTACGGTTCCGGTTTTGGTACGGTTTGGTATCGGTTTTTGTTAAAAGAATTTAGATTTTTAATAAAAAAATTTGTTTTTTGGGAATTTTATAAAATTCGATTACAGAAAATTCGATTCAATAAAAAATATACCGTTTGAGAATTTTGAATGTTACAATTCGGAAAAAATACCGAGATTTTTTATTTGATACAGAACCAAACCGAACCGAAAATGATCACCACTACTTTGCACTCTCGTATTATCGATTGAACTACCCAAATTTAGGTTTATTTATGTTTAGTTTCTAACGATTGAAGAAGCATTTGAAAAGGGTTAATGAATTCAAGCCAAAAAAAAAAGAATTTACCATATAAAGCATGAATATATAAAAAGATTTCATTAACCAAAAAAAAAAGAAAAGATGATCACTCTTTTTTTTTGTTCATAAAAGGCTCTTCCTTTGTTTCATGAAGATCCACCTCCCTTTGTAGGAACATTACTACAGCTAGTACTACTCAAGGCTTTGTTCTTCTCTTGATCCTTAGAACCAGAGACTCTGGTCGGATCAGCAACCTTAGCTGTCTCTGTAACTGCAGAGCCATTGATTTCCGTAAAGGAACCTCTATTAACATGAGGCATGCCAATGGCGGGACGCAGCCCCGAGGCCGGGAACTGCGGAGGGACCTGAACCATTGGAACTCCCGGCGGAACACAGCTCATGTCGGGCATGCCCATTCCGTAACTCATTCCCATTCTCATTGCCATTGCCATTGCCGCCGGGTAATGTGGCATATGCCCTGCTGCCATGTGCATAGGTTGCATACCGGGTGGAAACATCATCGGCGGCATGTAGTATCCGGATCCCATCGACATGATCTGAAGGATTTTTTTACGGATGTATCGATTAGTTTTCACGTACTTTTGTGATGCTTCGAAAGTAACCAGAATGATGCGAAAACAAGTGCTACCTGTACTTGAAGTTGAAGTGACTTGATATGCTCAATCGCTTCGTCAAGCATTGAAGCTTTGTCAACCTTTACAACGGCGGAAACTTCGAGTTAGTAAAAGCTGATTCACATAAAACGGACCGGGTTTTTAGACTATCCAAAACTTCGTTTCGGTATGATCTATGATACTCAGATACCAACCTTATTGCAGTTTGGTATGAGCTCTTGTAAAGCACGCATCTTCTCGTTTATTCTATCCCTCCGTTTCTGAATATCGAGGAACAGATGAAAGCAGAAGCATCAGGACAATGTATAGTAACACGCTAAGTCTGCTCAGTTCCGTAATTTGGGTAGGAACAAAATTCTGGGTACTCTACTCACCCTTTCAGACAGATTATGAACTTCAGCCGAGCGGCTTCTCTTGCAACCTGAGGAGCCTGCTCGGGAAGGAGCTGCCTTTCTTACATCGGTTGATTCTTCTTCAACATCCTGCTCACGGGTTTCCATTTCACGGTTATTCAAGAATCATTGACAGTGAAGAAGAAACTCTAATGTAGAACCAGTGAATGTCACTTACTTCACTCTGGCAGTCCATTTCTTGAGTATCTGAATAAGGTCTCTTCAAAGAACGCAAAGGAACATCAGAAGGTACATCGAGACTATTACCCGAGCAAACTGAAGAACATTGGACCGCAGGCTCCATGGCCTTTTCGCTCTGCCGATCTCTTCTACATGAATTGCCTGAAATTAGGCAACCCTTTACATTATCCTTGGAGGAAGAACCCGAGGTAACAAACTTAGCTGCATCAGAAGCAACTGACCGGTTAAGAACCTTATCTTCCGGTACTTGTGCACTAACGACTTTGGTCTGAAGCACCTTCGCTGGACTACTATGCAAGCTTTTCTCTTCAGTCAGCCTATTATTATTATCCGATTCAACGAGTCGGTCTTCCATATGATTGCTGCCCATCTCCTGGGTGGTCGTTGCACCTGAGCCGTGATGATTAGCCTTAGACGATGCAACAGGGCGTAAGAAATGAGAGAAGTTCATCAAACCGGGCTTGTTACTAGGAAGAGCCGGCTCTTGCTTCTGCGTAAAACGACCCGATTCTTTGCAGACAGTTTGATGTCCAGAAGCAACATTCCTTACTATACCACTTTGATACAAAGGGGGTGGTTCCTGAAAAATATTAGACCGAGATGAAGGCCCCTCCTGACTCGTGCCATTTCCACCTCGAGTAGATTCATTGTGTGCGGAAACAGAGCGGGAATTCGCCGCAAGTGAGTGATTGCTGTTGTTGATTGTGTGAAAGAAGGGAAAAAGGGTTTTGTTCGGTGCATCATTATCTTCCTCATTGACTGTAACTTCAGACACGTCAGGAAAGAAGTCGGATTGTAAAGATTCATTGAGCGGGTGGTTCAGCCATGGAACCAAGTCGTCGTCTTGACTCAAACCCGGCATGAGTGAGGCCACTGGCATTGGGATCCCATTCATGGAATCGCCATTTCCAATCTCCTTAGTTCTTGGAGAGTTCGATTGAGAATTTGGCTGGACCAGAGTAGTGCAAGAAGCCTGTTGGTGTGTGTTATTCCTCGACCTGCTCGACTGGTTCTGCGTTGTGATCTGACCATTTTCCCACACGAGCTCGACCACGTCATCATCATCGGGTCTGATGAGATTTCAAACCAGTTTCAATCAAAGATCACAGCAGGATATGAACTCATGAATCTGAATTCGAGAACCCAAGAAAGAGACAGGAACATAAAACCAAGAAAACCAGAAACTAGACGAAGTTATTGAACTCACGCAGAAGGTTTCCTTTCTTGAGATGATTCAAGCCTGGCTTTTGCAAGCCTCAGGAGCTCGAACAGGGGCATGGTGGTGAAAACTGAAAACTCAGTTCACTTTCCCAAATCTTTTATTACCTGAAAAATCAGGAAGAAAGAACAAAACCCAAATAGGACAAGAAGCTTAAATGTCTGGTTTCAGCAACAGATAAGTCTCCATGTTCATACCCAAAATAGAAAATGTTAAAGAAATCTGAAATCTCAGTCTTTTGTCAATATCCAATTATAAAAAATCCACAGAGATTTAATTAATAAAACACCCCCCAAAAAGGATTCAGTCATACTCAAGACAATAGTTTAAATCTAAACAGTGTGTAATCACAAGCTTAAAAAAGGAGATAATTATACAAATAAAAATCCAAACTTTTCTCCTGTTCTCTGGATCATAAGGAGACTCTGACCAAACCCAGAAACCAAATCCCGAAAATCGATCGATAATCGTAAAAACGAACCCAGAAACATAACTAATCACTGACCTGAACAAAGGAATTGGATTCGGAGGGAAGAGGGGAGGAACCCTCGATGATGAACAGCTTCTGAATCCGAAGAAAGAGAGGCCCTCGAGGCATTAAAAAGGGGACAGCAATCCAAATGCAGGAGAGGGCGAATCGGAGAAGGAAGACGGCAAAATCTCTTGTAGCTTGTGAAAGCGAGAGAGGAGACAAATTTACGCTTGTGTAGGGAGAGAGAGAGAGAGAGAGAGAGAGAGATGACTGAAATCGCACGCACTGCTACTCGGTGCTCTCAGCCTCTCACAGTCTCAGCTGCCAAATTTCAGCTTCACGACAATTTCAGACAATGAATTTTACGCCTTCTAATGTAAAACATTTAAACATAAACACACACAACTTTATAAGAAATATGTCTTTTTTTTTCCCGTCAATTTCTGTAAACCACGTATAAAATAAAAGTATTACATTTAATAGAGGTATGTAAAATCGAATCGAAAGGTGTTAGTGGAATCAAATAAATAATATATAATTTAGTCCGAATTAAAATCAATTTGAAAGTTAATTAGGTATTTTTTTATATAAAATAAATAACATCTAATTAAAAAAAATAAAAATTTAAAAATTGAATTTATAATGAAACAATAACCAAATGCAAAAATAATTAAAATCTAATTACATAACCGAAATATATTTCGTTTGAAAATATATATCATATCTTCCCTATTATTTTTTTTATACATAGTACAATATTCAAATCTAAACCATAATCTAAGGTAAAACGAAATATGCGTTAACTACTAATTTTTATTAAATGCCCATTAACGAACTAAATTGGTCCATGAAACAAGGTATTAGAAAGAATCAAATAAATAAGAAAATATAGCAATTGCTAATGTTTGTTCAAATTCATAGCAATGTAATGTAAGCATTCGAATATGATTCCAAACACGTGTAATCATTTTACACGACGATTTTAATTTATCCTTACAAAAAATACATATTTTTAGTACAAAACCACTTATATAACTTTTATAACCTTAATTAAAAAAATTATATTTAAATGAAAAAGTTATATAGACATTCGTATATAACTGTTTAAACTTTTAATAAACCATTTGATAAAAATAATAATTTCTCTAAAATTTTCCACAAATGGGACCCATAGAAAAACTCGTAATTACTCCAATTCGCTTGGCTCTGTCTCTGTTCCATGAACACTACCCACCCTGTACATTATTTCATATATTTTAACTAATTAATTGCATTATTCATTTACATATTCATATAAAAAAAAGTGCGAAATACAGTGTATAATATATGTTATCCTAACCTTATGATATGAATGATATGGGCCAATATGATGACAAGAATCGTGTGATGTGTTTTTATAAAGGAACACAACACAAAAGCATCAAAGAACAAGTTGGGTGAAGCATCTGTCTGCCGCCTGCGTTGCGTACCCCAAATTTTAAATAAAAATTATTTGACTTTCTAATCATTATGAGGGTTTTTGAAAATCTAATATTTTATATATCTACTAATCTTCGGGAGATATCCCCTAATCAAATGCATTATTATATGTACTTTATCATTCCCTTTTTGCAAATTTGATTTTGAAATTATAATGGTACTTAATTAGTATACACACACACACACACACACGTGATATTACTAGTCATTGATCTATATTTCGAGGTGAATTTTTATTTTAAAATACATGTGGTGGTGGACCAACAGATCTCATATACGGGAAAAAGAAAACATTAAAAAAAATTACATAAAAAAGTTATTTACATAGAAATGATATTTATTTTTCATAAAATTATTATAGAAATGATCGTAAATAATTACAACTATTTTTTTTTTAACTCCTGGATATAGAAGTTGGCTAGATGTTGACTGCGAGGATCAAAACGTCACCGTACGCCGAGAAGTACATGTGTTACACTCTATAGATTTTAGAACATTGATGATGATGATGGCATGATGGTGATGATGATGGTGATGAGACAGGATGGTGTCAAGGTGAAACGGAGCAATGGGACTTGGACCACGTTTAAGAAGAGGATACGTTTGCTTTTGTCGAGTTTTCGAACAATTTATTTACAAAATGCAATGAACCATTTGGGGTACCTCCCTTTTGCTTTGTCCCTTTCCCACTTACGTACACATCGCACAAAACATCCCCCATCTCCTCATACATACATACATACATGCATACATACATACATACATACATACACTTATATATAGGGCCGTCTCAACTTTTTTGGAGGCCCTGTACATTATACAAAATTATATCGATAAAAACTATAAATTTATATAATAAAAATAATATTATTAAAAATATTTAATAAAAATAGATAAATTAATATAATAAAAAAAATATTAATAAAATTAATAATGATTTTAAAAATAATTAAGTTTTATAATAAAAATTATTTAAATATAATCAATAAATTTTGTAACGTTTTTTTTATTAATGATAAGAATAATATTTTTTTAAAAAAATCCATAAATTTAGGTTTTTAAAAATAAATTTATTTGTACAATAATATAATGTATAATAATTATATCAAAAAATTGATTGGAGTAATGATTTTTAAAATGAAATCCATTTGATGTCTCCCCACCTTCTATAGGCATTTTGGAAGAGTAGCTTCCTTTCTTTCTTCGATCAATCAATGTTAAATTAAAATGATATTCTTCAAATTTATATTTAAAATCCATTTGATGTCTCCCCACCTTCTATAGGCATTTTGGAAGAGTAGCTTCCTTTCTTTCTTCGATCAATCAATGTTAAATTAAAATGATATTCTTCAAATTTATATTTATTATTACAATAATATATAATTAATATTAATAAATAGCTTTAAAAATGGGGCCCCCAAATTTATGGGGCCCTGTTCCGGCGCACCTTTTACACTTGCTAATAGACGACCCTATATATATATATGTGTGTGCATGGGGTGGATGTCAGGGTTCCAAACTTCCAAAGATCATATCTTTTTTTTTTCAAATCAGGATGTTCACCTAGGCCTTCGGCCCAACCTATATCTCCCTGGACCCGAGAGCAACCTTTGAACACACAGCCTTTGGCTATGCCTCTCCCTTCCCGCATGCCTGGATTCGAACTCCTAACCTGAAGGAGGAACACCCTCACTTCCAGTCCAGGTACCACTCGAACACAGACATGTGGGTCAAAGATCATATCTTTATCGCCATGAATTCCTAGTTAGACGAAATATGAACCAAATACTCGAAGGTTCCTACGTTTGATATATATATATATACACTTTTAAAAGTTGGGCCTTTGAGAAATAACCATAAATTCTCTGTTACTATATATATATATATGTAAATATATAAAATTGAAAAGACTCAGAGATCTTGGGAAATTAAGAATATAAAAGGATAATGTAAAATAACATACATCATGGCATGACCCTTTTGTGTTGCAAGAGCCAGGTCCTCTCTCTCTCTCCATGAATGATATATATATATATATATATATATATATGTATGTATGTATGTATTTATGCAAAAATACGTATGTTTATTATATTTTATGGGTGACATCACTGGATATGAATTAGGGTTCAACACAAACCAAGAACGTGAAATCTCGTGCATGGGTTAGTTTTTGGCTCAGGCTTAGAGACAATAAGATCTCGCATATATGTCTGTCTATATGCATATATATACATTCACACACGCATGCACGCAGCAAACATATACATCATTGCTATTCTCTTAATTTGTTATCTATAGGATTATAATTCCAACAATAGGGGAATTCGCAACACTTTTCTATGCACATAAATAAATTTGATCGGTTACAATAATTCAAATGAAAAACTATTTATTTCTTTTGTACACATTTCATGTCAACTTATTTGTAGTAAGATTTCAGGAATTATATATATATGTGGAACTTAACTATTAGATTTTAAAAAACTATACTTTATTATGATATAAATTTCACGTGATTTTGATTTGAAACGGTTTTCCAATTCGAATACTTTGCTTTTATTTATAAAAAACAAAAAAATATATTAGAAATGTATGTTTTTTTAAATTGCAATTCCTTATTATGTTATTTTCCTAACTAATTTATACTTTGAAATTAAATGAGACACGTATTATTTGGAAATATGTTAAGTTATGAATTATATTAAGAACTTATATAATCCTAAAAACTTGGGTACATATACATTAATTTGTGTCACGCGTTAAATAAAAAATTTAAAAAATTATATCTGCTTGTCCATACATAAATATACACACACAATTATATATATGTGTATATATAGCTAATTGTGAAGAAGAATAACGGCTAATGATGATGATTAGAGCATCATTTGCTTTTGAAATTTCCCACCAACAAAATTAATTGCTAGACATGAGTTTATTTTATCTCTCTTTTATTAAATAAATAAACGATAAAAACCGTTGAACTACGACAAAGGAGAAATTTTATTGCCCGAATAGTATTTTTTGCAATAAAATTATACTATTGGGACAATATTGGGCAATAAAATTGCAAGAGAATCGAAACCAGATATGAAAATTAAATTTGTATAATATTTCAAAGTAATTGAAAAAAACAATATATTCGAAATCCGACGTATCAACAATTTTGTTCCAACAACTTCATCCGTAACAATATAAAATTACTCATTTTTTACATATACAAATATAATATGTATCATACAATCCCGTGATAAAAAAAAATTATTATTTTAAACATAATATTGTTATAACCATATAAAGTGTATGCATATAATTGGGGATTAACAAAATTACTTTATATAATTGATCCAATCCGTGTGAATATACGAGTAATTCGGGTTGTTTTTGTAAAACCGAAATATTCTTATATTATTCAAAAAATAAAAAAAATCTTTATTAAAATTGATAAAGTTATTAATATATTTCTTTAAAAAATTTATAAAAGACCACGGATATTTATTTAAAATTACAAAAAAAAGTCTTAATTTTTTTTGTAACGAAATTAAAATATCAATTAATACCCAAATAGTTTTTGTCGGATACCTACAACCCGCGAGCACAAAATCCGATTATGAATATTTGATATTCGAATTATTTGGAGGATACAGATATGAATATATATTTAAATAAAATGCCGGACCACTACATATAAATGTGTGTATAAGCGAAGCGCATAGGAGAGAATTGAAGTAGAACACAGAGGACAGAGGCGTGCAATGATGTTCGGTCACATGCATTCCAACAGTCCTCCTGCCCATACCCTCCCCACCTGTTTTCCCAAGATCCAATGCCACATTTTCCACTTATATATATATATATATATATATATATATATATATATATATATCATGTGTTTGTGTATATAGTTGCTTAAATATATGA